ATTTTATATCAAGCAAAATACCAACTTTCTCAAAAAAGAGAAAAAAATTAAGCAAGAATGAATATTATGCAAGAAATTCACTTGTCACCCTCTGCTGAAGCAAACCTTAGTGCCCCTGTGTCACCTGCCCAACTTAGAACTCAGGGGTTGTGGTGGCAAGAAGGACAGCGAGAGAGAAGATCAGCAGGAGATGGAGGGAGCGGTGCCATGTGCCACTTCTGCCTGTAAAGTTCCACTTGGATGGTCAGGAACAAAACCTGGACAGCTTGGGCCAGTGCCCGGAGTCACTTCTGAGCCCATGCGGTAACCCTTTGCATAGATTCTAAAGTCACTGCTCAGGCCCAGGCTGACAGTCCCCAGCTCTATGTACAACCACAACCAGAGGATGAGGCTGCCAGGGAAATAAACAAACAGTGGAAGCCAGAGCTGACTGAAGATGCTGCAGCTGGGGAGCCCTACACAGCACGGCTGATGAAGAAAACGAGATGTCAAATACAGGCCTTCTAGAGAGGGAGCAGGCAGCATGTGGAGGGGACCAAAGCAAGACCGAGTTCTGAGGAGTAATCCTTCCCCACTGCAAGCTGCTGCTCTTCATCAGGCCTTTCTCTTGGCATCCTGAACAGCGGTGACCCGGAGGTGACCCCTTCAGGGATGACCCTCTCAGAGGACTTTGCCTCTGTACAAATTCATATCCCTGTTTCTCTGCAGCAGTGCCTAAAACTCGAGTCAATTCAGCAAGCAACTTTTGGGGACCTACTATGTGCTTAATGATGCAAAGATGTCAAAGACAATCTTGTCAGGCCAGATGGTACAGAGGAGGGAGAGACTGGCTCTAGTACATGAACAAGTGAGCTCAATTCTCTAAGAGCAGCTTGGAATTGCAGGGTGGGGGCAGAGGAGAAGAGACTCAGCTCCAGCTGGGAAGTCAGAGACGCCTTCTTGTGGAAGGCGCCGTCCGACTCACACAGTGACTTCTTTGGGAGGATTTTGACAAACAGCGCAGATTGGGATTCAAGGCTGAGGAACAGCTTGGGTCCAGAGGCGCCTGACTGCAGAGTCTAGAGGTGCTTGCTGTGTGTAGAGAACTGTGAGTGTTCATGGTAGGGGACCAGGAGCAGAAAGTCAAGTGGGACAGGAGGCCACAGTGGATGCTTCAGTTCAACAATTATTTTCATCAAATTATTTTCATCCTCAGACCTACCTTTCAAGAAGACAGTGAGAGTTCAAGAACTGGAGGAAAGTGAGTGCCAGTAAAGGTTACTACAGATTCAACAGCAAGAATGCATGAGATCCATACAAGGTCAGGGGTTTGAGAAGAAAGGACATAGTATAGAGAGCTGGGCAGGCTGAATCAGCAGCACCTGATCTGATCAGAAGGCTGGGATGAGTTAAGAATGCAAGTTAAGAATTGAGATCTGTCATTTGAGATCCAGTTTCAGGGGAAAAGACCTAACGGTAGGAGGAGCTTTGAGCTGATGAAAGAAAACCTGTGGTGTCTTTGCTTTGGGGTTGGTTGAACTCTTGCTATCTCAGGGCAGGAGATGGAGAGAAGACAGAAATACAGGACTGCATGGAGCACTGTACCTAAAAATAGGCGATGATGGAAGTAGATGAAATCACTCAAGACTAAGAAAAGAGGGGGCTGAGGACAACCTTGAGGAGTGGCAATATTTAAAAGAGGACAAGAGAAAAAAAAAACAAGCAAAGATGCTAACAAAAAAATAAACAAAGATGCTGACAACCTACCAAGTGGAAAGAAAGTAGGAGAAACAGTGTGTTGGCACGTTTTTTCTCATTGCTGAGACAGAACACCTGATGCTCAAAATTAAGGAAGGAAAGGTTTATTTAGCTCACGATTGGTAGACGTTTCAGTTGGTAGTCAGCTGGCTCCAAGACAGGGAGGCCTGGCCAGGGAGCCACAATTCAAGGCAGCAGAGGACAGGAAAGGCAACAAGAGCAAAAAGGAGGAAAGTAGGCCTCTTTTCCTCCCTTATATTCTTTTCTTTTCTTTTTTTCTTTTTTCTTTTTTTTTTTTTCAGAACCGGGGATTGAACTCAGGCCCTTGCACTTTCCAGGTAAGCGCTTATGGTACTGAGCCATCTCCCCGGCCCCTTTCCTCCCTTATATTGTTTGCAGGCTCATAGGCCTCGCAGGGCAGGGTGGGTGTAGCACTCATAATATCTCTAGGCCTTCCTGTTGCATTCCTCTTAAGAATGGGCTCGGGATGGTTACAAAGTGAGGGTCCTGGTCCCCTGCTGAATTACTTGGTAAATTTCTATACTTCCCAAGTTAATGCAATGTAGCAACTGTTACAGACAGCATGAAGTATTAGAATCCAGGGAAGATTAGCTGGAAAAAGAGTGGAGCACTGCATAAAAGTCACATGGGTGAGACTCCGAGATGAAGACTGGCAAACTTGAATTTTGGCATTGAGAACCTGGCTTAGAGCAAAGGGTCTCGAACATAAAGAGAATGGGAATCCTCTAAGGCAGGTGTTAAAACCTGCTTTAAAAAAAAAATTGAGATTCAGGCCTGATGGTGCGCACCTGTAATCCCAGCACAATGGTAGACTGAGGCAGGAGGATTATAGGGTCAGGCCCAGCATATGCACTTTAGCAACTTAGTGAGCCTCTACCTCAAAAATAAAGAATAAAAAAGAAGGTAGCTCATTGTGAAGACCCTGAGTTCAGTCCTCTGTAACACACACACACACACACACACACACACACACACACACACACACATTGCAAGAGCCCAGACCCTAGAGTTTCCAATTCCACAGATCTAGAGTCAGGTCTGAGGTCTTAGATTTGCATTTCTTTCTTTTTTTTTTTTTTAATTGATACAGGGTCTCTTACACAGTTTGAACTCATAGTGATCCTCCTGTCTCAGCCTCCCCAGTGCTGGGATTACAGGCATGCGCCACCACGCCCGGTGTTGGGGCCAGCAATGCGCACATGACATGTGGTACTGGGGATCAAACTCAGGACCTTGCACTTGCCAGGCAGGTGCTTATGCCACAGAGCTATCTCCCCAGCCCTAGATCTACATTTCTAACATATTTCCAGGGATGCTGATGTTACTGGTCTCAGGGCTACACTTAACAAAGTCTAGACTATTGCCTGTTGGATTTTTTTTTAATGTATTTAGTACAGGGTCTACAGGGTCTCACTACACAGATAGAACTTGTAGTGATCCTCCTGTTTTCAGCCTCCCAAGCACTGGGATTACAGGCATGTGCCACCATGCCCAGTCTCAATTGCCATCTCAGTGCACCCCGGGGGCGGGGCCAGCACAACAGGCTGGGGATCAAATCTCCAGCCCCTGTGTCTGCCTAAACAGGCACTTTAATCTGCTGAGCTATCTGGCTGCCCCGCACATTGGGTTTTTATACCATGGTTCAGATAGAAAATAACTCTGTATGGGCCATTAGAGTACAGGGTGAGAGCTAAGGTCCTGCCAAGCTGCCCAAAGGCCAAGGAAAGAAGTACCTCAGCATACACAAGCATACATTAAGCAAGCAGGTGGAGAAGGCTTGACTTAGAGGAATGAAAGGAAAAAGGGACAAATAGCAAAATGGGAGTGGATGTCTAAGCTGTCATAGTAGCAAAAGTGGCTCCTATGACAAATGAAATGCAAATCCTGCTTTCAAGAACGGGGTCACTTGCTCATGTCTGTATCTCCAGCTCCAAGTAAGGACCTCATGTGTGCAAAGACTGCTAGAGCAAACCGAATTGAAAAGTTAGGCTGAGAAAGCAAGAAGGTTTTACGCTGGAGGAAAACAGAATTAGAATGAGGTTGTTCCTGAAGAATAAGGCAAAAGAAATTGTTGTCTGGGCACCAACTGGGCAAGGAAGATGCAGAAGACAGAAGACCAAAGCTGAGAGAGCAGAAACCTTACCTGTCCCTGGCAAGGAGTCCCACCATTTCCTTGGTGAGGAGGAACTGGAAGAGCAGGCTGCGGCAAGGTCTGTGACTTCTCCACAGACTTACAAAAACAGATATTTTCTTTTTTTTAATTAATTTTATCGAGATATAGCAATGAGACAGTTTCAAAACAGGTTAGTAGGACAGGAGCAATAATTAATACGTTGTATATTGTTGTCTTCGTGATAGTTATTCATAGGACAAGATGCAGATGTATCTTGTCTAAACAATATTAGTACAAATCTTTCTTCTCGCTGAACTAAGAGAAAGTAGCTGTATATCTATCTTATTTTGCATATACAGATATATGTGTATATATATATATATATATTTTTTTCTCACTACAAAATGGTCCTTCATTTGTATCCCCCTTTTTTGTTTAGTTTTGTCAGAGATGGGTACAACAAGTATTTTCTAAACTGTCTATGCGTAGTCTTCTGTGGCTGTAAGGTGTGGAGGACCCTCTATTGTTGAGAAAATCCCTTATTAGTTCTAGGGGTGGTTTTCAGCTAGAACATTCAATCCTTATTTGGATGGGAAATGAGCAGTAAGAAGGAAATGAACAAGACTACATGTGACAATACTGTACTAACACCTTGTCTTGTTTTTTCTTTTAATTGAAATGAATTCTCCTATCTAATGGTAGTGAGCTATTTGAGGACAGAAACATACTTTTGTTGCTAGTATTTCCTGAAGTGACTGACACAGAGTAGAATCCATCCCAGAAATAAAGCACCTTTACTTTTAAGGAAGAAATAAAAGAATGAGGGGTAAAGGACATGGGGAAGAAGGAAGGAAAGGAAAATCAGAAGAGCAAGGAATGAGAGGATTTGGGAAGGCAAGACAGCAAGAGGGCAGGTAGAGAGTGGTCAACCCAGCTGTGACCCCCAAAGACGCCCACACACAACTCCCTGAAGCCTGTCCATTCATCCGCTGCAAAAGGGACTTTGCAGTTTTAGTTAAAGACCTTGAGATGGGAAGATTATTCTGGGGTTTTCTGGCCAGGCCCATTCTAATAATATTCATCCTTCAAAGTGGAAAAGAAATGCAGAAGAAAGGATTAGAGATAATACCTAAGGAGCAGAAGCAGGAGAGAGACTTGACTCTTGTTTGCTGACTTTGAAATGCTGACGGCGGGTAGAACCGAGGAGAATGTTGCTGCTGGAAGCTGAACCTCAGCTGACATCCATCAAGGCCGTAAGACCTCAGTCCTGCAGCCACGAGGGCTCAAATACAACCCCACAACCAAAATAACCAAGAAACACACCCTTCCCTGAGCAGTCAGAAAGGAACACAGACTAGTCTCCACTTTAATTTTAGCCCAATGTAATCCAATGAGATTGCCAACATACAGAATTGTGAGACAATAAATCCGTGCTGTTTAAATCACTCTGTGTCCAGCAATTTGTTATGGCAACAGTGTAAAATTAAGGACATTAAAAGACAACGGGTACTAATAAACAAGGCAGAAATATAGAAGACTGTTGAGAATCATAATCAGAAATTACATAGGTTTTGCCTTTTAGTGAAATATAAGGTCTAAATATCTCCCTAAGAGTTAAACACACACACACACACACACACACACACACACATCAAAAATGAATGTTGAACTCAGTCTTAAATAATTTGTTGGGCTCCCTTCCTTTCCTGAGAAGATCTTACTTCCAGATAATGGTTTTTCTTTCATCTCTCTGATTGATGAGTCACTATCTTTGCTCTCTTGTACAATATTGTCTGTCACAGGAACACATTAGTGCTTAATGTTTAAGAGGAAAAAAGTAGAGAAGGAGCCGCCTCTCCTCACTAGAGAGCCTCTGGCAGTGAGAAAGCAGAGTCTGCCAGATGGAGGAAAGAAAGCAAATAAACAACAGAAACACAACCAAAATAACCCAGTCCTAGGAGGGGAAGGAGTCAGAAGATTCCAAGAGAAAGAAAACTGGAGGGATTGAGGGATGGATGGATGAATGGGTGGAAGGATGGATGGGTGGATGGATGGATGGATAGATGACAGATAGCGTATTAGTGATCTGCCTTGTTGCTGGTACAAAATACTATTCGCTCCTCCAAAGGAGGAGAGGTTTAATTTGCCTCATAGCTTCAGGTACTTCAGCCCATAATCAGCTGGTTCTGAGGCAGGAACATGGTGGAAAGAGCTGGTGAAGCAAAGCTGCTCATTCCATGTGAGCCAGAAAGCAAAGCATAGGGGAAGAGCACTATGGAGAAATATACCCTCTGAAGGCTACCCGGCAGCCCACCTCCACATGGCCCCCACCTCCAGCCAGTGCATGGAGCCATGAGCGTGAGCGGTTTAGCCCACTGATAACTATGGCGTCTCCTTGGCCCAATCACCTTTTCAGAGTCTCTTAATACAGTCAGGTTGGTAATTTATATCTAACCATCAAGGATGGAGTTAATGGTTAAAAGAACAAAAAACCTGCTGAACTCTTTCATGAGGAACAACTCATAGAGTTCATGCACTGTTCACAGAATTTAAGTCTTGCAAGTATCTCTAGATAATTTTCAAGGAAGAAAATTCAAACAGTTTATCCAAGGATTCAGTTCTTGGTCTTCCTCTCCATCCATATCTCCCTCTCCTTGACACAGGCAATGGACGGGAATGATCTGCATGGGCTCCTGAGTCAGAAAAGTACTCTGAGTACAAATCCTAGCCCAGCCACTTGCCAGCTTTCTGACTTTGTATAGGACAGTATCTTTTCCAGAGAAAATGAGATACTCACCTGTCTCTCAGGGTTGTTAGGAGAATTAATGTGTGTATATCTAATACCCTCTCTGCCATTCATGACTCATGCCCTGAGACACCTCATAACATCCTATATTGTCCTGTCATCTTACACTAATTTTAAATTATCTGCTTCTTGCCTTTGTCATTCCCATAAGCTCCACAAGCAAGAACTAAATCTCTTGTTTCACCCTCACCTTAACCCAGATACTCAAATATCAATGCTGAAATGGAGGTGATTGAATAGCTGGCATGTAGGCACAGATATTTAAAATATGTGTCAGCTCCTTGCTGGGGCCGTTTGAAGAAATCACATAACTTCCTTGGGTTTTCATCTCCTCTTCTGTTAAACGACGATGGTACACTAAGTTATCTATAAATGTGTTCCCAATTCTACGATTCTCTCTTCCTCTGGCCTCAACTGAAATAAATTGTTGAATCAATTTGGACAAAAGACTCACAATGACTTGTTAAGACTATTATCAGAATGTTATTAACAGGTATGACAGATGGCTGACCTAATGTCCCTTAATTTGTTCATAGCTCTCTGTATCCATGCTGTTAGGTACTTTCTCCAATGCTGACTCTAGATTTATCCATGTAACTTGCTTTTATAAAAGGGATAACAACAAATATATAGTTTAATTTGAGGCTTTCAAAAACACTTATACATTGAAGCTTGCTATCTCTTGCTTGTCTTAGACTCCTGAAACTTCTGTTTGAAGAAGCCTGCTCTGGTTTGCTGGATAACTACAAGTATGTGGTACAGGCACCACTATTCCACTAGCCAATAGTCACCACTGCCAGATATGTAAGTGAGGCCATAGTGGGTAATCTTATCACAACCTAATCCAACAGCTGACTGGTGACACAAGTGGGGTAGCTGAGATCAGCTAAATCAGCTCAAACCAGGATGGCCCAACTGATTTATATAACTCTGACATCATAAATGGTTGTTGTCTTAGGCCACCAAAGTTTAGAATGTTGTGTTACACAGCAAAGCATGGAACAGTCCAAATTCCTGAACACCAGCCATTTCTAACCCACCCGCTCCAACTTCGTTTCTAATATTAAAAGCAAAACTAATATAAGCAACTAAATAAAATCAGGGCTATACTGGAAAGTTTGTGTTTATGGACTAAACCTTTCTTTTCTTCTAGGTGGATAATTTAATATTTTCTTGTATATAATAAGCATACTAATTTAATCACCTAACTTGACATATTCCACTTAAACACAGTCTTGGGAGATAACTTCATGCCATAAATTCTGCTCCACTGTCTAATTTCCCCAAAGGAAGTGCTTATTCCTGTGAAGGAATGTTCTTTCTTTGTCTTTCGTAATGCCTACAAGTAGCTTTTCTGTGACTGCCAGACCTTTTTTTTTTTGGTGGTACTGGAGATTGAACTCAGGACCTTGTGCTTGCCAGGCAAGAGCTTATTGTACTGAGCTATCTCCCTGGCCCCAGACTTCCAGACTTGTGAAGCACAATCTAGTGGATTATTTGGTGAGGGGGTCATTTTGCTCTGTTCTTTAGTACCAGGGATTGAACCCAAAGCCTTCACGCTGAGCTATATCCCCAATCCTTTTTATTTCTATTTTTTATTTTGAGACAGACTCCTGATCATTTGCCCAGGCTCAGTTCAAACTTGTCCTACCTTGGACTCCCAGGGTTCTGGGGTTACAAGTGTGCATCTCCACACCTAGCTTCTAGAGTGTCTGTCTAGAATGTTCCACTTATGGGAACATTCGTCCAACTCGGAGGAACATCTAGAATGAAAGGCCTTGAATGCAGAAATGGAAAATAGACAATGGAAAGGCAGGGGAAGGAGTAAGAGAGTTCCTTCCAGAACAGAAGTGATACTTCCTAGTCCACATCAGCTGGGTCATTTGCCTAGAGATTGGAGGCAAATATCAGAACATGCTGCAGGTAAGATACACATGTTTAAGATAATCTGTAGTTATGTAAGTTCCGTGTCTGACAGACATGGAATTTCAACACTTTCATAGGCTCCTGCATCTGTACATAATGCTCAATATAAAATTTGTTTAAAAGGATGAGTGAATTAGTGAATGAGTAAGTGAAGGAGACTTCTATCAGGGAGAGGAGTCATTTATTAATTTAATCATCTTGTATCTGTTTTGCAGATCCGATGGGCCAGGAGCTGTGCCAAGGGTACCAGTGTTAGTGCTACTCCTGTGAATGAAACAATCTTAGTTTCTTCTCTAGTTCTCATTCTCCCTGCCTGCTCTACCCCTCTTTCAGACCCCATCCAGTAACTACTCAACTTACAGGTATCCCATGGCTAATCTCAACTATGGCCCTATAACCCACTGTTTTTCTTTCCGAGCTGCTGATGCTCCAAACCTGGTCTCTGATTCCAAACCCTTATTAGGTGCCCTATTGTCAGTCTTTGCACTACAGCGTGCTGGGTAGAAACCCACTAAAAAATGTGGCAACTTGGTAAAATAATCGCTATTTTTTATTGATCATGTATCCCTAAGTCATCTGCTTGATTCTGTCAATCCAAGCCAACCTTGGTAGATCTTGGGGTTAGCTCATGAACTGGAAATTAGTTGGTTGAGCAGCTTACCTGATCCAGAAGGGGCTTACTCAGTACTGGTCATTTAGCTATCTGTTGGAGGCTGGGCCATGTGATTTTCATCAGCCAGTTGTCCATCTGGCACATACATTTTGTTTTATTTTGTTTTTTGTTTTGTTTTGCTTTAATGCAGAGGTAGAAATCCCAAGAGAAACAGAAGAAGCACAAATACTTCTTGGAGCCCAGGGTTGGAACTGCCACAACCTCACCCTGCTACATTTTATTAACTTAAGCCACCATAAAGTCAACCCAGATTCAAGAGGTAGGGAAGAATGCCTGTCTTGAAAGAAAACCTACAAAGTCACATTATAAAGGTCTGGATAGAGGGAAAGGTAGAAAACTGGGGCCACTTTTAGGCCGACTCTACCAGAATCTTGGAGCTTGACTTTATTTCTAAAGTTTGAAACATCCATCTCTCACCGGTGGTATCAAACTACATTTCTGACTTTCCATCAGGGGAAAATCTCTACACGATTTTAAGCCTACCAGGGGGCATCCCCTGCAGCCAGCTCTTTCCTTTCTAGAAGAAAATTTAGATCCCATCCATGAGCCAGTTCCCTTATTATTAAGTAATCTTTCTCTCATCTAGGAAAAAAAAGTCCCTTCAGCTATTATTAAAAATAGATATGTGAACCAGGCTGAACTCCAGCTGACAAGTGTAATCAAAATTCTGATACCCAGAGAGGGCAGACCACATAAGAAGAACCCTCACAAAATACTCCTGTAACAAGATTCAATTCTTGTAGGAAGACAGAAATAAAACACTACATTTTTTCAACTCTGAACCACTTTTTCTTCACATGTTAGTGTTGCTATAGCCAAGGTGT